GCCAAGTAATCAACACCGAGATGTTGGCTGTTTTCTGCCAGAAGCATCTGCTATGCTTTCGATTGAAACAAATGCTATCATTTTTAAATTTTTTCTGACCTACTCTATGTATAATGAATACTTCGTATAAAAGAGACAATAACGAAGGTTGGACAGTGGACCAACACCTTTCTCATCACGCCAAGCGCAAGACAGTTCACCTGTTTAACCATTGGATATTTGAGCTTTCAACACGCAACATCTGCTTTACTCAATTCTTTTCAAAGCAAAGGAGCTGCATAACAGTTGTACATTTTATTGTCAAATACTACGTAATTATAATTGACAGCATATAGCAGTATTGTAAGTTTTAATTAATCTCTCCTCATAGATGTGTAAATAATATTCTTATGCCCAATTGATATGTACACTTCATAAGTATCTCTTATTAATATATTTAATTCTAAACTATTGTTATGCTTTAGAATGTTAGATTAATAATTTTTTATTTATGTAAGTTTTTAAATATTAATTAAAAATAAAGTCATAAATAAATTTTTGATCATGTTTAAATTGTGTTGTGTGTCCAATTGTTTTAGTCTCATACCACATCATGCTAGACTAGATTCTTTTTAGATAATAGTAAAAATACATACATTAGACATTTACCGTACATTAAAAACATCTACATGCTTAATCTTCTTAGAATTATTTAAGTATTCTCTTTTATCCTTTGGAACCAAAGAAATAATTTTCTGGTCATAGTTTTTGTATACTTTTGCGATGTACTTATGACTAATAACTAATAATAATATGTAGTTATACTCTTAAAGTATACCAAATGCAAGAGATAAGTATGTCATGTTTTAAAATATATTGATAATTTTGTCTCACCCTTTCAAGATACAACATGGTGTAAAAAGAATTAATACTAACAAAAAAAACTTTTAACAAAAATAATTATCATTTGAAAAACTAAAATTTACGGAGTACTAAATTTTAGAAATTTACTATGGTATTGGTGAAACTAGTTTTACTTTTCATAATTAATTTTTTCATAGTCCATATTCCTCGTATTGTTTGCTCTTATCAGAATATAATATGCACAAGATGACAAGGATGTGTATGTCAACCTTGTCTTTCATAGCGATAGCTCAGTCAGTTTTGAGGAAGAACTGAGTTTTGACCATCCAATCGAAGAATCACATGAATAAATTTCACACGATTTTTCGGAGGACTTTCAAACTAACCAAACCCGAGGAGATCACAATTCTATGATTAATTGGGCTCAAATGGAGGCTTGTAAAAGAGACATGGTATTAATGAGTGCAAAGTTCAGGCCACTAATTCTAAAAAATGGCAATGTACTTCTCACGTGTGAAAAAGTTGGGAAGTATCGAACTACGAAAAAAACTTACTGGACAAGCCGCACAACAAGATAATGGAAACAAGTGATTAGGACAAAGAAAAGTGATTGTTTGCATTTGTATGGGATTGAAGTGCAGTTAAATTTGTGATGATTACAAGTTAGTTGTGGATATCACAAGGCATACATTATTATACCTAAATCATTGGGTGCATAAGTGCATTTGCTGGCAAATTGACAAAGCACAAACGGTCTTTGGTGAGAGACTTATTTGAAGCCGAATGCGAGCCAATCAATTCTCTACAGCTTAAAAATGGCAAACTTCGATAATGTTACATTCATAGAGGAGGTATACAATGCAAGGTGTAAACTTAAGGGGTTGATAGATTAGTCCCATACAATTTTATATGTTGCACGACATTCTATTTGTGCATCGAGAATCATTTAAACTATTGAGTCTTTTTCTTTATGTTCTCATCACGGACACAACATACAGAGAAATCAGATATACATTTTTCATTTAAATTAAATAATTGATCAATGCGTTTGATATAAATGCATACAATATACTTGATTGGTTATGACAGGTACAAGATGCTCTTTTTGGGAAAAGTGAGATTCAAATGTATGTTGAAAATGTTCTATGTTCCATTTGCATAAAGCGCAAAACATTCATTATGAACGTTCATATTTGATAGAGTTACGTTAGATTTTACTAATGCACTCATTGAAGTACAATTTTTTTTCAAAGCTAGTCTAAGCATATATTGTGCATGATGCAATTATTGTAAGAGGCGGCAATATTTCATATTACTAGTGATGCTAAAGACGGTTGTTTTCAAATATGCGGCGACAAAGACACACATGTTTTCAGATCTGCGGTGGAAGCTAGAGTTCGTAAACCGGCATTCAGTTTTCTGATATGCAACCACAATGACTACATGATCATATCATCTGCGATTGTACCTCAGGTTTGGAGTTGGCCTTATTTCGATTGGGCATTATGGGTTGGATGAAGGTGTCGCTGGTAGAAGCCATTGGTTGTTGAGTCATTGAGGTGGGTCCCCTAATCCTGGAGTAGGGTTGGATTCGGTTCGGGCCACCCGGTCCGTGACCCGGCCCGGTACTGTGCGGGCCCGGGACCGGCCCGGTCGGGCGGTCCGGGACCGGGTATGGACCTGAAGCGGTGGGAAGGGGCGGGGCGGGCTCGGTGCTGGATTATTGTGACCCGGCCCGGCCGGGTCGGGCCCAGGCCCGGGTCCGGGTCTAATTTAAAAAAAAAAATTGGTTTGGGCTACTAGCCGTTGGGGTGGGGGTGGGGACAACCCAAACGGCTATATAGCCGTTGGGTGGGGTAAAGGGGGGGTCCGGGGGGTGGTGGGGGTGGGGGTAAAAAAACCTATAAATACTCCTAATCTTAAACATTTTTTCATATCTCTTCTCCAATTCTTCCTAAATCCTATTCTTAACTCTCTACTCTCTAATTCTCTTTTGCTCCAATATATTATATTTATTATTTATATATCTACTTTATAGTTTATACTTAAGAAGTTAAGATGGAAAATCAAGATGCCATTATACGGTATAATTTTGATAAGCAGAAGGACCCGAAGACCGGGATGTGGTACGCAATTTGCAAATGGTGCGAGAAAAAATGTAGCATGGGGGTTTCAGGCGGATTCGGGATGGCAATCAAACATATGAAGTCATGTGACAAAGCCAAAGGATCGGGAGGTGCGGGAAGTTCCGATTGATTACAATTTTCAAAATGTTTTATTTCTTAAAGTTTGTTTTACTTTTCAAATGTAGTTCATGTTTCATTTCAAATAAATGCAATTGAAGTTTGTTTTTAATACTCGTATAAAACTATAAACTATAAAATATAAATTATAAAAAAAAAATTAACCGGCCCGGCCCGAACCGGACCCGACCCGTGACCCGGGCGGGTGGCCCGGCCCGAACCGGACCCGTCCAACCCTCGGGCCGGTCCCGGGCCCATGTCATACTACCCGGCGGCCCGACCGGGCCTAGGCCCGGCCCGAGTCCATCAATATCCTGGAGTCTATGAACTACCCTCCAAAGCCTCTAGACAGTTAAATCTGGATCTAATCACAGTCAGCCTCGTCAGTACTGGCTCCAAAGGACGAATCCAACAGGACTTACATCACCTTTCAGACTGCTCCTCCCACCACACGAACCCGCTACCTTCATTACCATCCTCTCCTTTCTCAGCCGCTAAGCAACTCCGTGAAGGTAGGAAGAATCATTGAGAGCAAGACCTCCCTCATCCCTCCTCAATGTGCCTAACGGATTTTGAACCCGAGACCTCCACTAGGCACGGTAACCTCCCATCCAATGAGCTGGAATGGTTGGTTTTGTCAGGTCATTGAGATTGGGATCACTAGGGGTCAGAGTCATTGGGGGTGTCATGGGTAGTGTGGTCACTCGAGGACTACGAGGATGGGTCATTGATTATCGATAGTCAATGTCAATTGATCGCTCAGGCGTTATAGGTGTCACTGGGCAACAATAAGTCAATGTGTCGACGGAGTCACTAACGGTAATTCAATGGAACATAGGGTAACGATCACTACCAAAATGTTGTCTTAACTCCTCCCCCCACATATATAGGGATGAGTTCTAATACAAAGGGGTCTTCCCATGAAAGTAAGAAGTGATTTAAGTCTTTGATCACTTAAAAATGAATGGAGTAGATAAAAAATCACGCTAGGAAATACTAAACCCAAATATGCAAGACTTAATAGTAAAAGTGCATATACAATATGTAAATGTGCACATTTATCTCTTTAAAAAAGTTGCACATAGATTTTGATACTTCTTATTTTATTTTGAAGCGTGATGCACTTTTACTATCTGATATTGCACTTTTTCAACACAATGATGCACTTTTACTTTAGTGAGTCCAATAAAAGTTGTGCATTTTGACCATATTGCCACCGCGTTTTTACTTTAAACATTGATCTGATCCTTCCATTTTATCAATTTAAAAGACTAAATTAGTTATTATTTCACCTACGGATCACTTTTTATTTGAACCAATCCATATATATATATGGGTGAGATCACACACAAACTAGTCCTTTCATGCTAACCTACAAACTGTCACAAACTGTGCATCTTTACATTATTTGTATTGCATATTGAAGTTCAAAGTGTTACATATTATTTGTATCGCATATTGAAGTTCAAGGTATTGCATATTATTGAGTTTGTTGGTTAGTAACTTGAGAGTCAGACCTGGAAGACTGGAACTATGGTCACCCACTCACCGTCTCACCCCAAGCTCTTCTCAATATATAATATATATTCAGGTTCTATTAACCGGAGTGAAATCATGTTCCAATAAATTAAATTCCTTTTTTGTAAAAAACGCATCTTATCTCTTAAAATAAATGCTTCAAATTTATCAATAAAATATGCCAAAACTGGAAAATCATAGGTTGTGCCCTATAAGTCAAACATCATAGCAACATGCCAAAGCCAATACCAAAAGTTTTCAAGTATGAGAGGTTCTGAATGCATGTACCCATATGAGTATATGACAAGTGAGTTTTTGGGTTTTTTACTTTGCACAACAACGAACCCATCCATCTCACATTGTTGGAAATTGTCAAATACGGAGTAGGGAATTAAATGGGCATCAAATACTAAGGGCTGCCATTGACATTAATGCAAGAAAATATATGTGCCATTTAAATTCAAGCTAATGAGAGGAAATATATACACTCAAGACATAAATATACATAACCACATGTTAATAGATTATAATAAACTAATAAGCCTAAATCTGCTGGCCTCCTGTTAAAGTAAAAAAAAACTTGGATATTGTCATACTTCGCAAATGATTAGGTTGAAGCTCCATTGGCCTCGGGCATAAAAAGAACTTCATATACCCAAAAAGATGGCCAACTAGTTGAGGAGAATTGGTTGCATACTGATAGGAAGAGCATGACAGGATATATATTCTACATGATAATCTTTTATACTCGAGAAAATGTTCTACTAAACAATGATGGAAAAAAAGTTTCATAAACATCTACCTAAGCTTCCACACGCACAAAAACATTGAGCAAAGCACCAGCGGGAGATTGGAGCCTAACATCTAGTGGGAGATTAGACGGAGCTGCAAAGGATCTATGTGAATTTAGGCACAGCTAGGCGGGAGGAAAACCTTCGCACTCAAGATGTGCTTGGCAACTAAGCAGGGATTTTAATGACAATAGTAAAAAGAAGCAAAAACAAAACAAAAAACGGCACTAATTACCCATAATTCCCAAATCTAAAATCTTATATTTGAATATCATATCATTGTAAGAATGAGACAGAGAGCGTTACATCTAGCACATTTTTCTTGTATATAAATACTATGAAGGGGTATCAAAGCCACAGAACAGGCCTGGAGTGTTACATTTGTAAAGTTCTAGCATGCAAAGAGAACAAAGAGGCAACAGGTGAATGGGATATAGAGGAAAAAATCACAGATGTAAACAGAACAAAGCCCTAGATAGTGGATGAAGAAAAACTCTGTGATGATCACTACGGATTCAGGCACAAATTTCTTTTGATTCATCTTCAAAAGTTCTTTTCAGAGTCAGCTAAGGTATTTAAAAAAATTAGCTGATGTTACATTACGATGATAACTGATAAGACCTATGATGCACAAAAATTCTCAAGAAATAGTATTTCAGTTTCAGAAACTTTAGACAACATCTCCAAAACACACGTAATACTTGTTCTATATTAAAAGGTGATGTTTTCCGTTTCATATTTCCCTATGTTTCCCACATTTCCTTACAACACAGGATAAGACAGAACTTCTGGAAGTTTTGATAGAATACAGAAAAGTTAAGCTGTTGCTTCACTTCATCTTGAGATTAAATAATATTTTCTTTTACTGCAGATAAGGCTATTTGGTTTCAAGAAATAAGTTACTCCCTGGATTAAGGGATAAATACTTTAACTAAAATCTACTTCATGTGAGCATTAAAACCAAAGGAACCTAGCATTAAGATGTCAGGGAAGGCATGTGTGGAAGTACAAGGGATAACACTCATAGCAGACATTTAAATGATAATATTAGTAGGAAGTTGATTTATCACAATTACAGACCGAAACAGTGTTCGACAAAATAGCCCAGTGTTTTGGAAATTGCGCTGAGAAGTGATTTTAAGAGATCCAACTCTTTGACATTAGAGTTGAAGTGTGATGTAAAATTTTGAAATGCCTAAATGTGAAATAGTTAACCTCAAAAGTAGTACTCAAAATGCCAAAATCATCTCGCACTCACTTTTGAATTATGGTTGATTTTCCCGTTTCAAATTAGCTTTTGAATAGAAGTATAGTTTGTTCAAGATTGCGCTGGGGCAAAAAGGTGCTTTTAACACCGCAAACGTAATCCCAAATGGGGCCATAATGTTTGTCGGAGGGGATAAGAATGCGAATGACTACATAAGAAGGAAAGATCTTTAAGAGATCTGAAGGTCTGGAACAGAAAAGTGTAGGTGACTAGGTTCTTTAGCTCTTTTATTATTATTGTTTCTAGTTGATTTATTCTAAATATAGTTGGTCAGTGGGTGCATGATGGATACCATATGAGAAGCGAGAAATGAAAGTTGTAAGGAGCTTATGAAAATATAATGTATTCAGGAAAGAGTAAAGTCAGATAATATTTTACGGGTCGAGCATAAGAGTATTGTGTTTTATGTAGACCCTTTTAAAGTCAAGCATGGTATTCAAATGGGAGAAAAACTTGGTAGCCGTCATGCACGACAGAGAGATCAATCTGAACCTGTGCAAATAGTTATGAAGAGCACGCCAGGAAGAAACAAGACAAGCCACAGTTCAAACAAGTGAGAAGATGTTTCAGACGAAACTGATGATGAAGAATAACGAAAAAAAATATCATAAGCCACATATATGGCTTAGATGTCACAAAGGATCCTTATTAAGCTTGTGCACAACAATTTGAAGACAAGACAGAAGTCAGTCAACCTGGTCGGATCTGTGATTAAAACGCTGAGAAAATAAAACATCTTGTGAAATTCTAATGGAACCATTGATGGAGCGAAACCCTAGCTAGCAACATTTCATCGCCTGAAACCTACTTTGGTGAAGACACAACAAGCACTGAAACATAATGGATAAGTGCTGAGGGGCAGGAATCCAGAAAAATCCTAAGCAATCCACCCCACCCCCCAACATTAAAAAACCTAGTCGATTCTAAAGATAAAGCTGGTGGACACCTCAGAAGTGGGGGTATAAATTAAGTGGCCATTATGAATGCCTGGATCAAGTTTTCAGCAGCACGTTTCTGGTCAGGTGTTCCAGATATTAGAGCCAGGCGATCACTTCGGGAGGATTTGGAATCAGTGATCTCTATAGACGCTCCAGATATCTGTAAGAATATTTAGTAATGCCAGAGAAGTCATTAGGAAACTGAAATAAATATTTCTATGAGATAACATTTAAACTCATTTTGTTAACTGTAGAAGATGGAATGTTGGAGCAAAGAGGAAAGGTGCAATGTGTAGAGAAAGAAGATACTAGACACATCAGAATACTCACATTTTGGATGTTGTCTAAGTTAGTTCCGCGTCTGCCCAAAACTTTACCGATAGCATGAGCAGGTATAAGCACTTCCAGGGCAGGTGGAGGTAATCTGGTTGAAATACGAATTGACATTAAGAAAGAATACAACAAAGAACCATTTCACAAACATAGAAATACACTAGAGAGTTTAAGGCGAAATACCTGTTATAACGTTTTGGAGAATATGCTGACAACAGACCATGGCTATTGTCTCCATACTCACCAACCTTCCAACACAAAAGAGGTAATATATAATATGATATATATATACACATATTTATTTAATTATACACGAATGAGAAATGTACCTCAAGAGAGGAATATGCATGAATATGCGACATTGGATTCAAGATTTAAGGACTCTAAGCAGCCAGCAATACAGAAAATAAAATAAAAAATGCAGTGTTGTAAATACAACTTTTTCTGCCACCACAGGAAGTGCACTACCCGAAAGATAAATGTGCATCGTTGTGAAACAAAAGAATAAATCTAGGCCCTTCATCACACTAGAAAATGATGGAATTGTGATTTGTTTCCCATTTCATACATCACTGTATTTCAACATAATTAGTGGTGCACTATTATGCATATAACTCTCCACTTTTCAATACTACGATGCACATAAGCTTTCACCTTATTTACTACAATGTCACTGGCTCACTGCGTTTTTCATTAGAAAGTCCTCTAGTTGACAACTATGCCACTACAATTTATCTTTAATAAATGTTCCTATCCTATAAACCATCTATAGATCAATGATCATGACCAGTTTTTGTTTCTCTCTGAGATCAACTTCGCAATTGAACATTGTGCGTGAGAGTGTACATATAGTATGTATAGATTGATATATATATATATATATATATATATATATATATATGTGTGTGTGTGTGTGTGTGTGTGTGTGTGTGTGTACTGTGTATGCATGATCTAAAAAGGCGTCTGAGGTGTATGTCACGATTTGATTGATTCAAGTTCCGTGCTGCTCACCACTCCCCGAGGCCAAGGATGGGGTCACCCATCATTCCAGGATTTGCAGTCCAATACATTTCCATTATTTTACCTAGGCTAACCCGTCACCCGGAACAAAAACAGCCTGAGGTTTTAATTAAATTTTAGCTCATGTGTGCCTAAAGTTAAGACTAATATTAATCGTTTATTGGACTCTGGAACTCTAAAATCAAGAGTTCAAGACCATGTAATGGGTAAACTCATCTATAATAAAGGATTGCATTTAGCGAGTAAAAGAAAGAAAAATGAGCACTTTTTCAAACAATAGATGGCCATCCTTTGTCGATATTGAGCATCAGCTGCCACTATGTCACATCACACTATCAAGATCATTAATTGCCCATGCCAAACCATCCTTGCATAAAATCACACTCCATTTTACTCAGAAGGGCAAGAATGACTTAATAACACTCAAACTTCACTGACATTTCCTAACTATGTGTTTTAAAATTTTCATTTAGGCCTTTAGTTATGGATTGTAGACTCAGATAAAAGGTTAACTCTGCAGTCAGGGACTAGAGAAATTTTCATAGTAATGATCTTGAAAATGAGTAAATATAAAAGAATCCAGACAATGAGTGTTGCATACCGATAGAAACTCGGGTCCATAAACAATGTTCGAAGAATAAATTCCAGCCCCACTTTCAGTACTCCGCTCATATCTCAAAGGAGCAACTTGAGGAATACTTGGCAAAACTGAAGGCACTGAAACATGGGCTCCACTAGCATGTAAAATATCAGGAAATGCAGAAGATTTCTGCTCTCCTTCTTGTTCTTTGAGAACGTCAGCCCTGAGCCTTAGCACAATCTGGATAAGCGCATCCCTCACATTGCTGACTTCCCCAACCACCTATTTATGCAACCAGAAAGTATGGCACACGCATTTAGATTCGTAAGTCAATTGAATACACACACAGAGACACAAATTAACCAGAGGGCAAACCTCTACAAGTTCATCACTTGGATCTGCAGAGTTGGGCTTCTTTCCTTTGGAGATCCGAACATCAGCTTTAGTTCGTTTTCGAATTTCATTTATAATAGAACCACGTTTACCAATAAGGCATCCAATAACCGCAGAAGGAACAAGAAGACCTAAAGTTACACGGTCTTCATCCTCATCATTTATCTTTCCTTGCAGCAATAGCACAGCTTCAACTGCCATTGACTTGAGATCATCAACTGACTGCACAAGGACATCCCTGTTAGTAATTAATACAGATGAAATGGATAATGCTGAAATGAAAAGGTGATATAGCTGAAGGAAGTAGATGACACAATGTCCATCAAAGATTTTATATAAAAGATATGATGTATGCAAGCTTGTCATGGCGCATGGCGATCGCCATGGCACAAAGGCATTTGTCATGGCGCATGGCGCATGGCGCATATACGAATGGCACATATGGCGTTATGGCGATGACCGTTTTCATGGCGAATGGCGCATATGGCGCTCGCCATATCTCGCCATTGACAATTATGGATGTATGAGCATAGGCTAAGAAGCTGAGAAGTGGATAACCAACACCTTACTCTTTGACACACAAAAACTGCCAAATGATTTTAAACTGAGAATGTTTTCTTCAACCTAAAACTATTATCATTAATTGACAGTTAGACCAAAGAAGATGAAAAAAGACGTACCTCCTTAGAGATCACAGTGATGATACATTCTTCGGGTTCAGCTTTGACATCACCAACCTCAATTTGAGCACCACTAGCCTGTCGTATGGTTTTGATTGAATTTCCACCCTTGCCAATGACACGCCCAATATTGTGGGATGGGCACAATAATCTGATTCTCAACTCCTCAGTTCGAGAAGCAGATGAATAGTCTGCCCATGTACTCCCTGCATCCAGATAACCTGGAAACTCTTGCAAATGTGAACCTAAAACAGAAGAAACTGGTGCGGTATGGACTATAGGATCTACACCCGGGTATATGCCAGAAGTTGAATATATCGGAGCATCTGATGGTATAATAATACTTGAAGGGATTTCCTGAACTGTGGTATCAAGAGGAATCTCTTCTTTTGGTGCAAACTTGTAAATGATTGAAGAAACTGCAAAAACTGCTTTCGTGACAGCCTCCGACATACCAGCAATCTAGGCAAATTTATAATGCATATCATAAATATATCATACATAAATTATGGAAGTACTAGAGTACACTTTGTACAAGTGCCAGATTTATGGGTTATCTTAATTTACGATGGCAAGAATACTTGACACAGAAAAAAATATGCAAACAAGCAACAATAAAATCCTTCAACCTAAGCATCTTTCTAGATTTAACAAACTCGAAGTAAAATACTTTCAAATCAAGCACTAACTTATCAGAGAAATCAATATAATACTAGCCAAAGAAATTATCAAAACACATACAGAAACCAAACACATAACTGAACAGAGATGCCTCAAATTAAGCACCTTTCTGATTAAAGAATCACAAAAAAGAGACTGAAACTCAAATAAAGCACTAGCTTATTACATTTGAGTAATGTAATACTAACCACCACAAAATTATCAAACTCCAATGCACAAGAATGGTTAGGATCACTGGCATTTTTTGGAGTTACTCTGATGTTTGCTCCAGTCTTGCTTCTCATCTTTTTTATGGTAACCCCAGACTTCCCAATGACATTTGCACTCTGGCTGGTAGGAACTAGAAGCTGACAAACTTCCTTTTCCTTCCGATTGCTGTCAGATTCCCCAAGGGAAGAAACAGAATTCATGATTGTCGCATGCATCTTAAGAAGAGCATCCTGTGCAGAACAAAGTGGTCTGCTGTCGTTGAATTCCTCATCCACCTCAACATCTTCCTTATTTTTTACATAACAATAGATGAGTATAACTCTATCCTTAGCACCAGGAAAGGGGTCCACCACCTTAACCTTCGCACCAGTGTTATGTCTGATGGAATTTATGTTTTTCCCACTCTTTCCAATAACACTTCCGATAACATTAGCAGGGCATAAAATCCTGTAAACAACCAGCTCAGCATCGCCCTTTTCATCTCTTTCTGTCCTCCTTTTCTGGTTCTTGTTATCCCCATCATGCCTACGATTTCGCTTCCCAGTCTCACCCATACCCATTTAGCAAGCACACAACTTCTCACCTAATCATATAGCAAAAAGAACAGATTTTTAAAAACATAATTAAAATCATATGCCTAATAGAAAGAATTGATAGCAGTCAAAAAGATTTAACCTAATCCTTCAAAAAGTCTACTTTCAATAAGATTACCTCCTCCTCCACACAGGCATACACCGCCTAAAAAATTAAGAAACAGACTTCTTCGCCAAATATTCAAGACCAATCAATCACAATCAACTAAAAAGCACATAATAAAAAATCACGAAGAATATCACTCAGCACATATAGCAGAAAACCCTGGAACAAACCCCAGAAGAAGGGCGCTAAAAATTGGACAAATTTCAGAAGCACATAAATCAGTGTATCGCACCTCAAACCTCAATCGTGGTGAAGCCTGGTGACACTGTTATCTTAATGCGGATATATGTACGTTAAGATCAGGTCAACAACTCAAAGCTGGCGGTGGATAGTGAAAGGGTCGAGCATGTAGGCCGGATGGATTGGGCCAAGCAGCAACCCTCTATCTTTAGTGCAAATTACCCGAATAGTTAAATTTCAATGTCCCCAATATCATTTATGTTCCTCTTATTTTCTCTTTTCATTTTTAACTTTTATATTTTCAAATTTGGTTTTTTGTTTCAGTTTTAGACAGGTTCCGCTAACTCCTACGTCTATTCATACTTCCGTCTAATATTTGGTTTTCCTCTCTTATAATCTAGGGTATCATTGAGAGAGATGAGATCAACGGCTTGATTGGGAGTGAAGCTCCTGACCGGCGATTTCCGTCGAATCGGTGGCTCCATTTGAGAAACTGATCTGAGCGATTGGAAGACAACTGAGACACACTGTTGGAGCAGAGTCTGTGACAGCGATGGAGTTCTCAACAACGCGATAGGGATACTTCGTGGGTGAGCAGTCCAACTTTTAATTGTCCTTGCATCCAGCGATTCGTCCGTTACCGTTTAGGGTTGTGACCTTCCGGCGACTGGGGGCTAGTTTTGGAGAGCAGCGAACAGAGATGGTTCTGGAATTCAAATCGATGCAACTCCTGGTGTGGATTTCTTTGTACCTATAAATGTGAACACTACTGCAGTATTCTGATCTTTTTGCTCTAAAATAATAATTGGTTTATTCTAAGCTTTTCTCTTGAATTTCATTCATTGTTTGTGTTCAAATACTCTTTATTTCTATTTCTGGTTAGTTTGCTTCTGATTTGGCATCTAGTTGTGTAGTGTTGCATCTGGACTTTCAGAGTAAATTTATTTATTTTCATCAAACTTCTGATTTTGTCTAGGATTAAACAATGTTTTTCATTTTAGTACCTCTTGCTATGTTTATTTACAATGCTTTAGTATCTGTAATTTGGGTCAACCTTATTCAGATATTTAATCAGTTTGGGTGATAAATAAAAATCCATCTTTGTCTGCTATGGAGTATTTGCTATTTGCTATGATTTTGCCTTCATTCAGAAGGAATAAATACCTTCTGTGTTTTTCAATCACATAATTATCAAATTTAATTTGCCTTTGAATTGTGATAACCACTTTTAAATGAAGGAATTCAATAAGAAATGGTTTGTGTACATCACTCTTGAATATTCAAAAGTGTACATCCACTTTCGAATAAGAAATGGTTTGTGTATTTGCTATGTATATATTCTTGTTGAAGCAAGAAAAGTGCATATGGAGCAAGTGAATATTCAAAAGCTTAGAAAGAAGAGCTTTCTCTACAGTTTTGGGGCTGAATTGGTTCTTACTGATCCTGCCAAGGCATGAAAAGTTCCATTCAAAAGGTTGAAGAAATACATGCCAAAACACCTAATCCCCTCTACTCTCTAACAATTTGAAAAACCCATCAATTCAACCCAAAGATACATTATGAAACTATTGAGCCAGAATTTGGAAAGGATCAAACGGTAAAATTGATGCTTTCATCTCTTGAATTGGTACAGGAGGCACTATTACTGGTGTGGGCAAGTTCCCTGGGGAGCATAACCAAAACGTAAAGTTGTATGGATTTGAACTTGTTGAAACGTGTTCTCAACGGAAGAAAGATTGATCAACTCAACATGTTGAAACAATGATGATCTTATCAATGAAGTAATTCAAATGAATCCATTGGAACTCCAAAGCATATTGCCACAAAAGAGAGATTGCTAATGTGAATATCATCATTTGCATCTGCTAAAACTTCTGTAACTAGAGTTGCAAAGAGGCTTGAGAATGCTGAGAAACTTGTTGACATTTTCCTGAACTTTGTAGAGCAATATCTTTCTTATGTTCTCTTTGAATCCGTCTGGCATGAAGCAGAGAACATGATCTTTGAGTCCTTAATGAATTTCTTGTTTGGAGGTCACTTAATCGGTCTAGACCTATTAACTACGTAGTACTATATTACATTTTATTGAGATGACATATTGTACTTTCTGGAGCACATCCTTAGTTATGTTTAGTGCTTGTATGGAATGCTTGGAATAAAAGTTATGCTTTATTATTGGCTTAATAAACTGAATTATATATTTATTGTGATAGATTGTTTGTGTTGCTTTTTGTTGCATTATATTTGTTTCTTTTTGTTGCGTTTTGTTTTTTGTTGTTGCATTGTGTTTCCTGTTGTTGCATTGTATGACATATGGTCAATGTTTATAATTGAATTTGATTTTAGTTGTTTATTTAGGTTCGTACTTATCTTTGCTATTTCTTGAAATAAAAATAATCATGTATTGATATATAAATACTTAAATTGATAAATTTTGATCTGTGGATATCAACAATAAAACCTGATGAAACAATAAAAAACAAATATGCAAAAACATCATTCTCTTAAGTGTGTATTTCTTATTGATGTACATCTGGAACAATTAGTTGTTGATTTGCTCATTACACACATTTCATCAATGTTTTCTTGGCATTGGAACAATTAGTACATGTTTATTTACATTAGCATTGAAATAATAGTTTGAATTTATATTTGTTGTGATACTTTATATTTTCCTTTTTGTTTCTTTTTGTTGCATCCGTGTGTCGCTTCTTGTTGCATCATGTTTTGTTTTGTTGCATCCTCATTATTTTTTTTGTTGATTTTATTTTTGTTGTTTATTTAAGTTTCTGTTTGCCTTTTCTACTTCCTTAAATCAAAATATCTATAAAGACTTATAAACAAACATCTAAAATGATAAATTTAGATTTATAAATATAAACAACAACTAGAAACATAATGAAACAATAAAAAACAAAAAGTTCATAGTTATCAACAAAAAGAAACACATAGAAATAGTAGGAAACAAAAAGTAATAATAGAATTATACGGAGAAATAGTTAAAAAAAAGGAAACACAAGAAAAGGTACATGTAGTTTGGACCGTGTTTAGATAGGGGCACGCGTTTCATTTTTTAACAAAGCGGGACATGTGTTTCAATTCCGTTGAAAGTTTCTCATGATAAAACAACATAGCTAGTTAGACAATAATTAAATAAGGTAATTCAGGTATATTTTGTAAAGTAATTTTAATAGATATATAATATGATGAGATTAGTGTTGATAATTGTGATGTTATAAATGTATTTTTTTAGTATTTAATGATTAATTTGTCATTTAAGATTGTTAATTATTATTTCCTAAAATCGAAATATGGTCCTTTATATGGGACGTCCAAAAAAGAAAGTGATGAGAACCTTTCTATGCAACGGAGGGAGTAACATTTTTTTTCTTCATATCTTTAATAGTTTCAAAGCATTTTCATCTTATTTTATATATTTATTTATGAATTTTATTTTTTAGTGTATAAGATTTCTTGCACTTTTCTCGTTTTCTTTTATTTTAGTTCACATATTTTATAATTTTAGTTAATATATATTTGCATAGTCCACTTTCATTATTTTTACAATTATTTAATTTTGACAACCTTTTACGATTTTATTAGTCTCTTTATTTCCAGAATTTTTAATTGTGCTTTAGTTATTTATGTTTTTAATATTTTCATGTTATATCTGCATTTGTAGTGTCTGATTTTTTTTTACTTTTTTGAATTTGAAAGTGCTATCATAATGTACTCCGTATAAAGTGTGCACGTTATTAAATTTCTTTACGTACTTATTGTTACAACCGTTTTGCCGTTTCTCCCAATTAACACGGATTAAGTTCAAGGTCTATTAGTGAAAAGAAACGCGTATCTAGTCTGTTTTTGAAAGAAAAGTTAGAAACATGAAAAAAGTGATATTAATTTTCCTTTTAGTCTGCTTCTGAAAAATTCCCCTATTTTTATGATTAGGTCTTTTTTTAAAGTTACTTAAATTTCCTGTAATCATGCTTTTAGAGTATGCTTGCAAACGATTAAAAATATGATTTTCACTTTTATATAATGAGAATAATTCAGCAATAGTTCATTGTGTTAATTGTTTTGGATGATTTATTACATTAGTTTGTTGTGACTAATGTTTGATAATTTAATTGCTTACAAACATGAAGTACTTTATTCGTCACAATATTATCTATTATTTTGACTTTGGAAACAGATTAAGAAAGTTTGAAATATGTGACTTAAAGAGTGAAAACCATAAATATAAAGTACTTTCTCGTAAACCATAAATTCTTTACCAAAAAGTGAAAAAGTAGTATATATATTGGGACGGACGAAAAAGAAAAAAATTAATATAATATTGAGATAGAGGAAGTAGCTTTTAGATTGTGAAATGACGCATATATAAAGACATGGTTACATAAGCACCATTGTTTTGTTAATGTATATAATAATCATGTTACAATTATAATTACAATTACCTATAGAATAAAATAGCTCATATACTTTAAATACTCATAATTCCGTGTTGTTATAACACTTAATAAATTTAAATAAATGACTTATCACTTTTCACAACATTTATTTTATTTTTTAGTTTAAACAATCTTAGTTCCATTTATGCAATAATTTATCACATAACAGTATATATTCTATTTAATTAATCTGGAATGATTTACATATCATGTCCGATATCTACATGTAATGTAAACACTAAGCTAGATAACAATAGCCACTTTTTAAGTTCATTTTTTGGAATTTTATCAATTCAAAACTTGAGAAAAAGTTCAATGTCCGAAGCATAAAGTATGTCATACAGTATAAGTTATTTGTCTACAATATGGATGAACTGATTAGTCGATTGAAAATTAGGGCCAAAGCCCCAATATGTTTTAAAAAGTTTTTTTGTAGCATTTTTTAGTAGAAAATATGTTGAAACTTTTCACTCGCCCTATTTTATTAACTTGTGATTTCTCCATGAAAAGGGTATCCATCCATACTGTATAGCTCTTAAGTCACGATATGACGTTTAAAGTTCACAAACAAGAAGAAAATTATTTTTTAACATGTGTAGCATTTTAAGATTTCATATTTTCATGTATCTTTGAATTTTTTATTTATATATGATGTGTATTGTTGTAAGAAGATAACTATCTAGTATATATCGAAGCAATGCAGCACACATATGAATGATAATACATAGATCATATATCGTGATGTGCATAATGATTCTACAATATTAATTTTTGAATGAGATATGACTAAATCAACTATCTCAAATCCTTGCTCCTCGCCATATTTTTCCATTTAAGTGAAATTAAAGAACTTAAAACTATAGAGATTTTGGAATTCCATCCATTTATCCCTTCATAAGAAAGATTGCTATA